GGGAGCGACAGCCTGGCAGGACAGCGAGGCCGAGGGTCGGCGCCCTGGGACGCCGGCGGCGAGGGGGTGAGACTCAGGTGCGGGCCACTGTGGAGGGTGTGGGCAGAATGGGTTTGGGCCCGTCGAGGGCAGTGCTCCCTGTGCCGTGGTCCGGACATGGGACGGCGGCAGGTGGCTGTGCCCAGTGGCCCGTGGGCTGCCCAGCACGTTGGAGGGCAAAACGGAATCCTCAACAAACCTTGCTGACAAGAAAACTGCAGTGACCGGCCCAGATCTGGGCCTCCGCAAGCTTCTGAAACCCCGACGGTTAGGGGTTGAAGTGTGTCTCTCCAGAATTCCTATGTGGGAGCCCTAACTCCCAGCACCTTGCACCATGACTGTACTTGGACAGAGGGTCTTTACAGAGGTGATCGAGTTAAAATGAGGTTCTAGGATGGCTGTCCTTATAAGAGGAGGCGATCAGGACACAGACTCGGGAGAGGCCTGCGTCTCCACGCCCGGGAGAGGGGCCCCAGGAGCAACCAGCCCTGCCGACACCCGGATCTCGGACTTCCAGCCTCGGGGAATTTGGAGAATATAAACGCCTGTGGTGCAAGCTGCCCAGGGCGTGGTGCCGTGTCCCGTGTCTGCGGCACAGGGCGGGGAGTTGGTTTCTCTGTATAGACTTCGTTCAAATTGCTGAAAACAATGCCACTTGGCTCCAATCAGGGAGGTGAGTCCCTGCGCCCCTAGATTTCCGGGGATACGCCAGATCTGCTGAGATCTCTGCAGGGCCAGCCGCTAGCCAGGCCCTGCTGCCCTAGGCCCCCAGCCAGCTGTCCCCGCACTCCTCCCACAGCCCCCTGCGCCCGTGGAGACCCCTGCTGGGGGCCCAGCCAAGGAGAATGAGGGCTGGGGGCAGGTGACCCCGTGGGGAGGCACAGGGCCCAACAGCGCCGGTCCCCAAACTGCAAACTGCTGTCGCCCGCAACCCAGCCCAGCCAACGCTCCCAGGACAAGATCCGCTTGCTCTGCGGGGCACTGTTGCCAAGGCCCTCGGCCCTGGGGGCCCTTCTGAGCCAGGGATGGCCCCAGGGGAGGCAGCTGTGTAAGGCTTGCTGTCGTCCGCGGCGGAAGGGGCGGCCAGCGTGTAGTGGCCGCTGCCCGTGTGCCCGCTGGGCATGACCCCGTTCGCCCCTCTGTAGGGCGTGCCATGCTTCCCATCTTACGCGTGAGAAGACTGACGCAGAACAGAAGTGCCCCGGGGACCAGGGCAAGGAGCAGGTGGCCCTCCCCGCGGGGTTCTGTGACAAGCAGAGGGCTGCTTTCCACGCTGGTGTTGGGGACGTCTGGTGGGCGTGGGTGGGAGAGGCCCAGACCCATTTTCCCTTCGAAAGGAGGTGCGGTGGAACGGGGCAATGTCCGGGAAGCAGGGGCTTGCAGGGAAGGGAGGAGCACCCCTTCCCTACCACTGGTCCTCGTGCAGATGGCCGAGCACTCCGTCCTCCGCTTAGAAGTTGGCCCAGATTTTAGGGGTCGGTTTCCGTGGGGGTCTACTGGGAAGATAGTGCTGGCGGAGAAGGCGGGTAGGGGAGAGGAGGCGGCCCCAGGCTCTTCCACGTGCCTCAGTTTACCATCCCGCCAGCGGGTCAGGCTGGATGCGGCAGTGAGGGGAGTGTGGGTACTGCGTAGCAGCCCCCTCCCAGGTCAACCCCTCCCCCTAAGGGGGCCTCTCCATGCCCTCCCCCCCCCCCGGTTGGCTTGGCAACAGCCCGGTTCTGAGAAGGCCCAACTGGGAACGTGACTGGGTCTCCCTGCAGGTCAGTGGCGCTGGTCCAGGAGGAAGGCTCAGTGGGAGGCAGGCTGTGTGGGGGAGGGGAGGTGCCGGGCACCACCTCCGGGAAGCAATGACCTGCATTTGGGGTCAGGACTGGTAAGGCCTCAAAGTATAGCCCCAAACCCAGCAGACTTTTCGGTGCCAGCTCAGCTCGGCACCACCCCTGGGGACCCCTTGGCAAGTATGGTTCCCCCTGCTCTGCCCTTGGGTCTGCTTTGGCTCTTCTTGGAGGACACTTTGGCCAGGACTAGGCTTGGGACACACACGTGAGGCTGTCTGCTCATCTGCCCTGGGCCCAGTGAAAAGGCACAGCTCAAGGGAATGCCCAGAGAGCCCCAGCCTCACATCCCCACGCAAAGGCTGAGCAGGGGCTCACGTTCCCACGCAAAGGCTGAGCAGGGCTGGGACGCCCACCCACGCCCAGCTGTCCGCTCCGACACCAGCCTGATCTGGTTCAGGGCTCTAGAACCCCCACGGGGCCAGGCCTGCCCAGCCACTGCCCGGCTTCACCCCCACTCCCTGGGGCTCTCTAGAGGTCAGGGAGGGCCCCACAGGGTGAGGGTGGGGCCAGGAGCGACACATCCCCTCCAAGCCTTGCCCACTTCTCGCCCAAATCCCGGCCTCTGAGGGCCCAGTCCCACCCTGAGGGAGGTGGGGTACATGAGTCGTGGTGGGAAGGGAAAAGGCAAAGGGTATGTGGGGGGCAGGTGGGCGGGGCCCAGGAGTTGCGGTTGCCTCGGGAAGGCAGGTGGACAGGAGGACCCAAGACCAGATGATCAGGAAGCCTCAGATCCAAGCTCGAGGGCCTGTGGCTGCTCAGCAGGACCCCCCATAGCCCCCGCACAAGAAACCAGAGTCCCCTCACCAGGTCCCAGCCTGCATCCTGCCCCCCCAACACCCCAGGGCAGGGAGCGCAGCCTGAGGAAAGAGGGTGTGCCACCTGTTCATAGCCCTGACCTTGCCCACGCCCCCCCCCCACAGGGCATAGCAGGTGATGAGACAGGGTCCCCAGAGTGGCCACTGCCCACCTAGGACCCTCCCCTGCCCCCGGGGCCTCTTCTGCCCTCACCGGCCCGGACCAGCAGGGCCCACACTTCCCGCACACACTTGGAGATGCACACGCTCCCGTCCCCAGGAATAATCCCGGCCATCTCCACCTGGGGCGGACTTTATTAGCACTGTCAGCATGAAGACGATGATGGGCACACAGGAGGACAGCTCTGGTTTCCGACTGTCATGGCAAACAAAACCTCCCGCCAGACGCTAAGCACAAGCACAAGTTAAGCTCTGGGTCACTGGGCACTGCCCACCCATGGGGCAGAGCAGATGAGACCGTGGGGAGGAGGCGGGACGGGCCCAGGAGGACCCCACACAGTAGGCTCCCCTTGGACAGCATCCACACGCACCTCTACTACACATTCCCACACAATTGTGTGTTAAATATATAGAGATTTCGTCTGAACTGTGTTGGTTATCACATTAAAAACTAAGCACTTGTCTTTACATTAACTTCACAGTAACTGCAGAAGACAATGAATCCAGTGTCGATAAGTCAGGACAGGAAAGTAAGTTCCTTCCCCCATGGAACCCCTGGGGAAAACCAGGGCTGCTGCCGCCTTTGCCTGCCGCCTTTGCCTGCCGCCTGCCGGCACTGTGGGCATGGCTCGGCCTCGCCATTTACTAGACACAAGTGCGCACGCGCGCGCACACACACACGCACACACACACACACACAGAAACCTGATCGTGGAGGAGGTGACACGGAGCGTGAGGTAACCCTTTCCAGAGGTGCGGGGCCCAGAGCCAGGACGATCACAAGAAGGGGGCCCCTTCCCCGGCGTGCTCTGTGGTCTGCATCCAGGCCAGAGCCTCGGAGCCCCAAGCACTGGGAGAGGCCCTGCACTGCACGGTGGGCTGCCCGCACACCCGGAGAGCCGAGGGCGTGCAGGGAGACGGCCCCTTCTGTCCGCCTGCTGTGAAGACCACCGGTCATTTCACTCCAGACCAGGCAGACAAATAAATACGATTATCAAGTGTTGCCAGGAGACGAGAAAATAACTTAAGCTTGGCTGGACTCTGTCCTCAGTGCCTCCAGTCGGTGGACACCAGGAGTCCAGGGGCCTCTGCCACGTGCAGGACCCCTAGAAGCAGGGGCAAGCCCCCGCCTGCCCTCGCCCCTTGCCATCATCACAGAGATTCTGGCAGCAAGATTTGCTGGGTGACCCCCACCAACTGCAAATGCAGAGGTCTTTCGGGGTCCAGGAGCTGTGGATGACAGTGCGGGGCCGTGCCTCCAGCCCAGCAGGTGCTTGTCCCCTCCCTGTTCGATGGCAGCTTCCACCCAGGCCCCACTGGAGGGAAGGGAAAGCCTGCAAACATCGCCCCTAGTAGAGAGAGCAGCTTCTGGCCCCCAGCTCAGTGCTCCGTACGCGACCGGCACTCCGGGGAGACCCTGAGCAGGCAAACCGGTGACCTCAGGGTGAGGCCCACAGCAGCCTGGTAGCAGCCGGCTATACTCAAGGCCCCTCCGGGCCCCACCCAGGGGATGCTCAGAGGCACCCCGGACCCCGGGCCCAGGCAGGGAAGCAGCGCGGCCCTTGCCCGCGGGCAGACAGCCAGCAACCTCAGGGAGGCTCTCTGCATCTAAAGAGAATCATTTCCAAATTGTGACTTCCTCTCTCCGACCGAGTTACAGTGTGGTCAGGATCAGAAGCTCTGGAGGACCCACCTCCCGCCCCAGCACCTGGAACTCAAGAGTGCCTCAGCGTCTGGCTGGTTCTGCTTCTGCAGCCCAGCCACACCAGCTGTGCCCCGACGTCCCCCGCCTGCACGCCCTGGGCCCAGGGCCTCCCGCGGAGGCTCCTGAGGCCACCCACCAGGAGGGGCCTGTTCCATCCAAGTGCCGTTTTCGAGACACGCTGACAACTTCTGTGGTGTGTGCATTCTCTCCCAAGCCTGGGGCCAGGCTCACGAGGGTATGCCTGCGTGAGTCAGTGAGGGTCAGGAAAGCCCCCGCTGGGAGGACCGCAGTGCGTCCTCAGGCCAAGGAGGCTGGGCTGGAGCCCTTGGGACAGGGCCCTTGGGACACCCCCTGGAGCCCACACGGGGGATGGAAAGGAAGACAGAGTTCAAGGTCAGGGCACAGCTGGGGGCAGGAGTCAGTTGCGGGGGGGGGGGGAGCAAAGCGTGGAAGAGGGCAGCCCAAGCCAGGCCAAGTCACCCCGAGCCTGAGACTGCGGTCCAGGGGCAGCGGTGGCCTTTCTGCTGGGAGCTGCAGCACCGGGGCTGCCCCCCACCCCCCACCAGCTCCCATCCCTCCTGCTGCATCCCAGCGGCCCACCTGGGAGGTCCCTCCCCGCCCTCCCACGCCGCACAGGGATGGGTCACACCAGCAGGGACTTGACCAGGCCACAGTGGAATTTTCGGACGTGGCGGTAGAGGTCCCCGGACTGCGTGAAGCGGCGCTCGCACCAGCGGCAGGCGTGGGGCTTCTCGCGCGTGTGCACCACGGCGTGGCGGCTCAGGTTGTGCGAGTACTGGAAGCTCTTACCGCACTGCGCGCACGTGTAGGGCTTCTCGCCCGAGTGCGTGCGCTCGTGCCTCTTGAGCGTGTACGTGCAGGAGAAGGTCTTCCCGCAGAGCGGGCAGGTGGGCACTGGGCCGTCGGGCGACAGCCGCGCCCGGGCGCCGTCCCGCTCGCGGAAGTGGGCGCTGAGGTGCAGCTGCAGCACGTGGGCGCTGGGGAACAGCTTGCTGCACAGCGGGCACACGCAGAGGTGCCCGCCAGGACTCGGCTCGTCCCCGCCGGCCCCCCGCTCTGCATCCAGCTCCAGCTCCCCGCCGCCCGCCCCGCCCCCCCGCAGCGGCTCCACGCCCACTGCCTGGCGCTTGTCTGCAGGAACACAGCGGGGCTGCAGGGGGCTGTGGGGGCTGCGAGGGCCGCTGCTGTCCTCCGGTTCCGACAGCAAGTCCCGCGAGTCCTTCACTAGTCGCTGGACGCAGTGCTGCATCTGGCTGCAGGGGGGTGTCTGAAGGACACAGGGTGGACGGACTGGCTCCCGCCTGGGGCTCGGCTTCAGTGACAGGTCCAGGGCCCGGTCTGAGTCTCCGGCGGCCTGCCAGGGAGGGGGCCCGGGTGCTCGCGGAGGGAGGGCGCCGACCCCAGCCCGGGGCGGCCTGGCATTCTGCGTGGCCGGGCAGAGCTCCGGGGACCGGGTGGGCTGGGGGCGCGGGGGCTGGCCTGGCGGCTCGGCCGGGGCGGCGGGGGTCCCCCGGTGCAGCGCGCGGCCCTTGTCCCTGAGCCTGCCCTTGCAGACCTTGACGACGTCGTACATGTGCAGGTAGCTGGCGGCGGCCAGGACGTCCTCCACCGGCAGGCTGCGCAGGTCCAGGCGGCCCTCGTACATGAAGTCCAGCAGGCGGCCAAAGGCGGGCGCCGTGACCACGTCGCCGTTGAGCCGCACCGCGTCGCGGCTGCCCGCGGGCCGGTCCCTGTAGAAGAGATGGAAGTAGACGCTGCACGCGGCCAGCACTGCGCGGTGGGCCGGGAAGCGCGCGGCGCCCACCAGCACGGTGCAGTCGCACAGGAAGCCCTGCTGGCGCTGCTGCCGCAGGCGGCCCAGCAGCCGCGCGCCGTGCTCCGGGAACTCCATGTCGCCGCGGGCCCCGGCGGGCGCAGACGGGGCGCCCGCCCGCCCGCCCGCCCGCCGCGGCCGCCCCCGGCACCTGCCCCGGAGCAGGAAAAACTCGGTCGAAAGTAAACAGAAGCCGCTGGCCGCGGGGCGGGTCCCGGGGCGCGAACCTGCGCGCGTCCCCGCCGGGCCGCCCCTGAACTTCACTCCGGGGTGACGCCCGCCGCGTCCCCCGACGCCCGCGTCGCCG